TTGGCGGAGAAAGAGAGTTGTTAGAATCATGTTTTCTTCCATCCACTTGGGTTTCACCAGAAGCTACCAAAGATGCACCACCATCACTATGGACAATCTGGGAATCAGGCAATGAACTGAGGGTAGAAATACGTCCACCTTCAGACTCCGGCAATTCTTCCTTGTCATTTAACTGACTGCTTAACCGTATACTGTCTGTACATTATGCATACAAATTGGATCAGTAGACTCTTTTTCCAGGAAGGAAAAACTACTATACAGCTCATTTTACAAACTGGTTGCCTTAAAACCAACATTGAATACCTTCTCCTGCTCCACCATCACAATTGGTATCTTCAATTTGAATTTCCCTTTGAGATTCCTTTCTAATCCCTCCTTTGGAATTAGTAGGTTTCCTTCGTCGTCTATTATTATGACGCTCTAGTTTTCTTCGACAACTTCGCTTACCTTCATCAAAATCTGATAAGACATGGAACCTGCCAAAGAATTGGAGCACAAGCAGAAACGAAATTACAAAAGCAAAATTAAAATTATTCCAGCACACTCAACAAAAATAATACATGCAGTCCCTCAATAAAACAGAAATGTGACAGTGTTACAACTTCCTCTTCATCCCAGGTCGACGAATCTTCTGGAAAGTACAATGACTCATTACACTAATAATTATTGCCAATCTAAACTCCCTCTGAAAAAGTATTACTTATTGTAACCCGCCAGTCTTCACGACAAAGACAAGCAGTATGGAATCCAAAATGCCTATGGCTTATGAAGAACTTAAAGAAAGAGCCAAACGTAGGCAGTGACCTTATCCTACAGCCAATGACAGCTGCAAGCCATTCAACATCTCCAATGTGCTAAATTGCTAATAGGGGTTGTCTCACTTTTCTCAACATCTATCTTTATGTATAAAAGACCCTTAAAACAAATCAACCAAACCTTAATATAATTAATATCTAAGTGCAGTATCCTCTGACCCATTAAAAGATATATGTCATCCACAGAAAGAAGAGCACATGTAATTATTCTGTTGCTTCTAAACAGTCCCTTCTCTGCATTTTGGAGAGTTAACAAGTGCAAAGTAACCTTATAGGTAAAAGCATAAAATTGATTGTCATATAAGATTACAATCACAACTCAGGA